ATCCAAACAATCGATTTTTCATATCATCTTCATAAACACTGCATAGAAAATGTTCGCTGCAGATTTTTCCGCTCTTCACATTAATAGAATCTTCTCTTTGACATTTGTGTATCCATTCTTTCGTCAAAACAAACTTTCATTTGGATCCTTTGGTCCCATGAAACAAAATATCTCATCCTTTCATACTTCTGTAAGTGCTACGGCACGTTACTGCAGCCGCAAAAAGCCATATTACGTAAACGATATTTTACAATATAGAATTTAAAATAAAAAACTGACTAAAATTACATATATATAAATTATTTTAAATATATACATTATTAGAAAACAGATATATATATTATTAAAATTTGGGATATGTAACCTCTAGAAAATCGTCTCGCAGCTCAATGAAACTAGTGTTTTAAACGCGGGAAATCAGGACAGGTGGCATCACAGTGACGTCAGATTATTGCCTGTTACGTCCCCCCACTAGGCTCGCGTCGGCCTGAGTGATACCAAGCACCGCATGAGGAACAGTGTCTGTGTAGGACTAGTGGGTTTGAGTGGTTAAGTACTTCACTGAGGGTCAAGAGCGCATGGGAAACATCCATTACTCAGGCAAACACTGATCATGTGTATGCTGTTATTTATCAGAATAGGCCACACTTCGGTCCATGCTTTCAGTTAGTATTAATCTTGTAGACGTAACGTTTTCGGAAAACATTCACATTAAAGAAAAGTATACTCTGTGGATTCCACACACGTTGACAGTCGAGAACAAAGTGATGCCCATGCAAACTGCCAGTTCTTTCCTACGGTGGTTTGAAGGAAAGGTAATTTGAAAGTCTGTAGTGACCACACTGAAACATGGACCCCGATTCCATGTTTCAGTGTGGTCACTACAGTGACTTTCAGTGGTTCAGTGTCATTTGTGAAACTGGACAAAAACATGCCTTACATTGAAGTAGACCTTGTAGAAAACACCAACCATTTTTTGATGGAAAAAGAGGCAAAGATCCCTTTCTTGAAGGAGGAAGAGTATTCCCTTGTTAAAATAAAGTCGACCATTTTTGCATCTTGACGAAAATGGACTGTCTCGAAATCGGTAGACATTTTTATGAAACGGATGTTAATTTGAGGTTGATTCTTGCTTAATTTATTGTTGTTTTGACTAATGCCGCTTATCTGATATCAGAGGAAGCTTACGAAATTCGTCCTGGCAAGGAGGTAAGATTGAGCCTGTCGCCTTGGCCACCATGTAGGTGACAGTAGGACTTTATGCCCCGCCCCCGAATTTAGAAGGACAGCATCTTGGCAAGACGGGTCCACGGGTCTCCCACGCCTTTTTCCCTACCAATTACTCCTTGAGAGGACTTTCGGGTCGCGACATATTTAGAGTGACCCCTGCCGCACACAAACTATACATTTAGAAACATTGATGTCTTCTTCGGAATCGAACTCGGCCCCTACACTACGAAAGCTAGAGTCGCTAACTACCATTCAAGGGGGGGAGGGCGCAAGTTTTTATTTAATATCAGCGGCGTTTCTTCGACTATAAATCTCTGTGAATATTATTTTATTTTTTAGCAAATACAAAATAATTACTAAAGCAAAATATTATACAATGTAAAAACCCCCCAAAAAAACTGAAACCTTTCGGATTTTATATTATGCCCAAATGTTTTGTGTGTTATTTTTATTTATTAAATATCGTGTTCTTTGCACTTAAATCATAAAATTCAATTCGACAGAAATATCACAAATTAATTTAAGAAGAGCATATCTTTAGAATTTTTGGTGCACAGTCTCGCGCGTTGGAGATAAAAATGTTTTACCTTTTTTTTTTTACTCGTACAGTGTTTCCAGTACTCGCTTTGACTTCGTTGAGTTTGTTAATAAAAAATTCGCTTAAGTTTTAGAAACGCCCTTTTTTAAGGTTTCGTGTGTTGCTTTTATTTATTAAATATCATGTACTTTGCACTTAAATCATAAAACTCAATTTTAAAATGAGCCTATCTTTAGAATTTCGGTTACACAGTCTCGCGCGTTGGAGATAAAAATGTTTTTCCTTTTTTTCCCCCCTTCGTACAGTATTGTCATTGCTCGCTTTCAAATCGCTGAGTTTGTTAGTCAAAAATTTGTTAGGTTCACAAAATATGATATAGATAATAGAAACATCAATAATTCTGGCTTCCAGATACCCATATTCGGATTACTTTATTGAAAATTTGATGTCTCTATGTACCGTTGTTTTTTCGCAGAGGGAGAAACATACCTACATTCATGCAAACTCTTCATTATTTAATTTCCTTAAATATAAAGCAGAGCTCTAATATTTGGTGGCAACAATTTGAAAATTGAACCGATATTTATAGTGAACCGACACAAAATGCCAAAACGAAATTGACAACCCTTCTGCGCTAACGCCGTTTGGGCCAAAAAGATAAAATTCGCTCCCTTAAAAATAATTTCATATTTGACGTATAGACATAAGACAGTCTGGCTATGTGAAATTTCGAATATGGGATAATAATTTTGATTTACGGTGCCGGTTTAATCCAAGAAATAGAGGTTCTGTTTTATTCTACTGCATTTAGAATAGTTCAGTATGTGATTCATTTACTTCCTCCGCCCCCAATGGTCCCCAATGGTCTCTGAAATGGTACTACCTACGAAAGTGAGGTATTATTCTGAAAAGGCGCTTAAAGGTTAAAGAACGAGACTTGACCCTAAGTGTTTCTTTCTCCTTTATAACTCCCCAGACGGGAATACAAGTGTCGATGGTCTCTTTTTCCTTCTTACCTCGCGAGGAATAGCGGCTATTTCAGAAGCTTTCCAGGATTATGCGATCTATTTTGGTATCACTGGAATAGGATGTGTAATAGTTCTTGATCATGATGTACAGCAGTGTTGTAGATCCGGTTGCCTAAGTGCTCCTTGTATCGAAATCTTTGTCCGCAGTTGAAGCTTGAATTTTTTCTCCCTTTTTCTGTCCACAAATGATGGGATTCAGATGATTCGTTTGAGCCAGGCTAATCAGTGGTCCAGTTGTTAAAACTGTGAAACGTTGCGAATTTGCCCGGTTTTTGCTTGTAGTGGTTGATTATTACAGCTTCGTGTGGTTTTAATAATTTTCTTCATGTATGAAGGGCAAAATAACTTCGAAAATCCTCCTGAATGTATCTCCATTCACAAGCAGATAGTTTTGATGACTTTTGCCATAACTGGGTATTTTCGGACACAATAAATCGAATTCCTCCTCTCTATATAAATTATTTATTTATATTATACATTTGCCGAATTATTTATTTAAATTAACCGGGACAAAACCTCAACTGGTGGGATTAAACTGAAGTGATCAAACGGTTTGAACTGGTTTAAACCGGTTAAATCGGTTCTGAAACCGGATCAAACGGTCCGGATTGAACTGGGATGAAAACTGGGTTCAAACCGGAACCGGATCAAACTGGATGAACTTGAAACCGGTTAGATTAGTTTGGATCAAACCGGTTTGAATGGATTGAAAATGGTTCAAACCGGTCTGAAGTGGATTAAACCAGTTCAAATCGTTCTGGACCGGATCAAACTGGATGAAACCGGTTCGAGGAAGCGGATCAACCGGTTTAAACTGGATTAAACCAGGACAAATCAGTCGCCACCTATTAGGCCTGCAGCCCGCCCTACCGGTATAGTGGTTAGCTTCGCTGACTGCCGTGCTCGAGTCCCGGATGTTTGTAAATGTTTAGTGTCGGTGATGCATGGCTGCACACTAAATATGCGGCCAGCCGAAAGTCTTCTTGTGTGGTGTGTTGGAAGGGGAGAGGGGTGGTAGACACCTGTCCATCAAAATTGGGGGCGGTGGAACTGAGCTAAATCGCGCTGTCAACTGTAAGGGTGTTAAAGGCTATTGCCAACGACAAGGGGTATCACGACAAGTGAGCTTGGACCAACAACAGAAACAGGTGCCTCCATAAAGAGAATCCACAGAATTTCATGTAATTTAGTTTTGTGAATACAATATACATCGTCTAAAAAATGTGTGAACAGCCTCTGTAATGAAGTCACCACTGTTTATTTTTAAAACTGTTACAATGTTTACGTTTTAAAAAAGTTAAGGAATGCATTTCAAAATTGGCAACGAGAATACAAATTCTAAAGTTTTAACGGTTATTTTTGTTTTAATTATTCTTGCATTTACCATGGATTTAAAAATTTGGAACTCGCCTAATTAATTAAACATCTTCTATGCAATTAATTCCTGGTACTGTTAAGTTATCAGGACCGGAGTCGTCGCCAAATGTTTCGCTAAACTCGCCAAATGGTTCATATGAAATCGCCAATGTCTACTTCTAAATTCGTTATAATGTTTACTTTTTTAAAAAAGTTTAAGAAAAGTTTAAGAATGCGTTATCAATATTGGCAACGAGAATACAAATTCTATAGATGTAAAGATAACTTGTGTTTTTATTATTACTGGATTTAACGCGGCTAAGAAGATTTAGGACTTATCTAATGATGAAACATGTGTGGTGTTTAAAATTTTCTTCCTCTGAATTTGGTCAGTATCAACTTGATATGAATCACTACATTGTTGTGGATTGGAACAGTTGCATATGGGAAGTCTATGGTCATGCAGTAATATCTAGACCGTCAGTTAAAATTGGAGGCACTGGTAATATTATCAAAGTTGACGAAAGTCTGTTTTCGCGCCAAAAAATAACGCTGGTCGTGTCCTTCCTCTCCAGTGGGTGTACGGCGAAATTTGCAGAGATATTTTTTAGTTGCTGTGTGCACCTGCGTATGTTTTTAGACATTTTGAATGATATGCACAGTCTTCGCATTAATTTTAGTTCGATAACCGAATTTTTTCCCCTGATTCCTTTGCGGAAGCTCTTTAATTTTCATTAAAAGCTTCTAATTTTACGAATATATGTTATTGTTTTCCTTTGGATTTTTCTTCGCTGAAGTCCATTGTAAAAATTTTGGTGATTATTTTTATGCTTCGAATTTTTTTCTAGATCATCAGCTTTTGGCGATATCTGAATCCGGTTCGCGATAACAGAACAGTGCCTAATTTCTGCAGGAACAAGGAATCATTCACTTTAGTAGGAGGTTTTACAAAAAAAACCATACAACTAAGTTCTGCTCTAATTCGAAAGAAGTACTGAAATGGAGATGTGAAGATCCAGATTTGAACATTCCTGCGTGAGCCGTAAGTATAATTTTATCGATCCCGATACTAGTTATCAATGCTCAAACTTTTGAAAGGTTATTGGATAGTGCGAAATAGACTTCAACGCGGCAATGAACGTAACCAATTAGATTTTTATTTGAGTTAATGTGGCGGCAGTAGCGTTCTATAACGCTAATATTTTCAGACATTTAAAATAATATTCTCAGTTTCATGCCTACTCATTTTTCTTAATTCATTAAATTCCCTAACCAGCTTTTTAAAAAAATTTTTAAGTTGTTTAAATTTACATTAAAAATTTCTAATTATACAAATAGCTGTTATCTTATTTTTTACCTTGTATTTTTCTTCAATTAAACCATGTCGTAAATATTTTGACCATTATTTTTACATTTCGAATTTTTCGCCAGATCATCAGCTCTTGGTGATATTTGAATTCGGTCCCGATAACAGAACAAGGCTTTAGTGTACAATTGGATATCCTTCGATTGCCGACAAATTTGTTCAGTTTTGGCAATGAAAACCCATTTCTGTTTACTATGATAGTTTTAACGGTACTTTTCCGTTTTGCAGGCGCAGGCGATAAAGTCGCCAAAACTGGTACAGCCGACGACAAACGGAATATCTTCACTGGTAACGTTTTACGCCTCATTTTCAAAACAAGTCGCAGCCATTTCTTATCAGATAAATTGTCTCTTTCAATACTGGCATACAATTACATAGAAATTTTACCAGATAGTTGAATTTTATGCCCGAGGCCATTCGCGGTAATTAAGTCAATTAGGATGTAATCACACCGCTCACCCGAAGACGAAAATATAGAAAAGGCAAAGTAAAGGGTTAAATTCATCCATTCTAATTGACAGTCCACTAACGAAGTAAAGCACTGCGGTTTTACATAATTTCTGCGTAAGCTGTTCGTACGAATTGAAATTATTCTTGCATTTAAATTTGTATTCCATATTAAGAGTTCAGTTGAAATTAATGTAGATAATTACCGAGAGAATTAGATTTTTGTAGCGTAGTTTACATGAGATGATATCACTTGGGGTCACGTGATATGAATCGGCGAATCAGAATGTTGTACCACGAAAGCATAATAAATTCTTAAATTAATGTCTTTCTACAAATTTATTGTCTTTATTTATTGTCTTTTTACAAAATTTTAAACGATATTAAAAATTTTATGCCTTCAAAATAAAAAAATTGTTAGAACTAGCAATTTGTTAACTTTTTTATGTGTATTCTGTTGCCAATAAAGTCTGCTTGGCGAGATTTGCGCCGGCGAAACGGAAAAGTACCGTTTTAACTTAGTTTTAGCTTCCATTGCCGTTACCGTCAGGGTACCGTAACTTTGTTTTAACCTTATATGACTTCATCATTTTCCTGAATTTTTTTAAGGGAAAATATATCGATGACGTGCACATGGACAAAGTCAAGGCAGTGCGCAATGCCGAGTTTGTGCAATTGTCTGATGTTTTTTAAGTAAAAATAGATTGATGTGTACATGGACACCGAGTTTATGCAATTCCTTTGACTTCTTATTTTGGTTTTGTGTAGCGGCCATCTTGGAATTGTGCCTTCTTGGCGTCAAAAAAGAATCGGCGAAAAAACAAAGAGCACCCCAATTGTAAACTTTCCCAGAACAATACGAAATTTGAATATGCCGAAACTCAGTTTTTTTTATTACGGTAAAATAACATAAAGTAATATTTTTCGCTATTCTCATTTTCCTGCTGATTCAGAAGTGAACTTGCATCTGAGTAATTACACCTTCTGCAAGCGAGGATATGTGTCAAGGAATTTAACTATGTTTTGATTAATAACGATAACTGTCATTTCACTCACTGCATGGCATATCTGTAAATTATTTAATTCAGAAAGTACTCTTTTTATATCATTGTTGTAACGAGCTGAGAAACGTAAATGTTTAAATAATGGTAAATGTGTGAAATAAGTGTGAGGTGTTAAAAAATATACAAGATATTTTAAACTCGTATCTTTTATTATCTTTTTTTATTTTACATTAATTCATCTAATCGTAAAACAACTTTTTTTTAACATCGGATATTTTTTTTCTCTGGTTAGTTTATAGAAATGAATCCCAAGAACTTTCCTTCATTTTACATCTGTAGACATAATCATATTTTATTTAACAGAAACACACTTGATAACACCAAAAGAAAGGAAAATTATTTTCTAATGAAGTTTGGACATTCTGCCTACTATCGAATCATCGAACCTTTTTCCTCTGGTTGCAAAAAACGACATGGGTCGCTTCAAGGCTGAAAGAGAAAAATAAAAAAAAAAAAAAAAAAATTAGTTTTGGATTAAATAGATATATCAAAGAAATATTTCAATATAAATGCAGCTTTCTAATCTATCAAATTTCATCACTACCCTTCGACATAAACAATATCAGTGGCGGATTTAGGAAGAGGTCAGTAGTTAATCAGTGGCTCATTTAGGAAGAGGGGGACCAATCAATCGCTTGAGGGTGGAAGGCTCTCTTCTTAAATTATCGGTTATATTTAGTATTATTCTAAAATTAATTAATAATTTTGGAGTATCTTAGAATTTGGTGATCTTCGTAATTGCGACTTGCGCAACATTATAAATCCACCTCTGAACGGAATGGGAAACCTATTTACTGAGCAAAAGTCATTTAGGATTCAACTGCTAGCAAGATTTGTATGAGCTATTAATTTATTTCCTGGTTTGTAAATCTAATTAACAAGAAAAGATTTAAAAATAACTTGATTATTAAAAGAAAAAACTTCAAATGACGGTTTAGATGCAAAGTTACCGTGTTTACTTGCGTAACAGTCGCAACTTTGGTTGTCAATTTTTCATTGTGAAAGTCTAGGAGCGACTATTTTATGTGAGGAAATGTACTACACAATATTGCGCATTTTTGAGGATTTCTTCTGCTTCAAAACTGGGGGTGCGACTATTACGCAAGTAAATACGTTAATTACATTTCATTCTCCAAATAATCAGATGAAATTTAAAGAATGCAAACCATTATTATACGCACATCCCGGCCCATAAGTCCTTGTGATCTTTTTTTTTTTAAATGAAAATTTTGAGTGAAAAATAAATTGTCTTGACAAAGGTTTAATATTAGTCAACAGAGAATTATTTGCTTACAAAACGGTGTGTTTAGTTTTTTTTTATTGCTGATATACTTTTTGTTCGTCTCATGTCACGTCGAGATCCCCCCCCGAAAAAAAAATGAAACTGAAATCTTTCAGATTTTATATTACGTCCAAAGGGACACTTTTTAAACGTTTTGTGTGTTACTTTTATTTATTAAATATCATGTTCTACCATAAAGCTACTAAACTGTTTTTCTACTTAAACGACAAAATTCAATTCTACAGCAATATCGCAAAATGACTTAAGAAGAGCATATTTTTAGAATTTCCGATACAATCTTGCACACTAGCGATAATTTTTTTTTTTTTTTTTTTTTTTTTCCCGTACAGTGTTGCCATTGCTCGCTTCGAAATCGTTGAGTTTCTTAATCAAAAACTCATAAATGCTTTACAAAATATGAAATTGATAATAAAACAAATTCCAAATTCGAGCTTCCAGTTGCCCGTATTCGGGTGGAGACGTACGTTATTCAAAATTGGATGGCTCTAGGTTATCGTTATTTTATCACTGCGCTTCCTCTTGATATTTTAATAAGCAAGAGCTTAAAGTGGTTTGACTATTTTTTAGGCTTTATAAAGATCTTCCCGTGTTTTATTCTCTCTAGAGCATTTAATGGTTAATGATCCTAATGCGATGCGTCAAATCATGCCATCTCACAATGTTTTAGAAACTTTGATCAATAATAAATTCGTGATCTTTGTATTTTGATATACAAAGTACATATTTTACGTTATTAGTAATTTTCAGTATGGTAATTAGAAAAGCAAGTATACTGTTATTAGATAGTTTGTTCAATTGAAGTCAAGTTTTCTGGAACTGCAGATATCCGAAACTTCAGTTATCCGAACAGCTTGTTTTCTTTTTACACCAAGTAAAATTTTTATTAATATAATACATAGGGATTCAAACATGACATGGACTGTTGCTGTTACAAATCACTACACATGCACAGAGCTGAGTGTCCTTGGGCCAGATAACCCCACCTTCTTTGGTTGGTTGGTATCGTGTTGTTTGAGAAGTCAAATGGATCCATGGTGGAAATTCCAGCTTTTTGGCAGTTCTACAATCTTTCCACTATACAGCATCTTCCTGGAAAGGAAATTCCTCCAAGCTTTGCTGAGCTGCAAGTATTGTCGGATAGGTGAAGACGTGTTCTGGAGAACGTTTCTTTTCGGGGCAGTTTCTACAAATTCTTATATGATCCATTACCATCTTCGTTAATTTTCATTCCTATGAAATGGCAGGTTCTCATTTTAATAATGGTCTTTATAATTTCTGACCAATCTTACATACCTGATGGTCTTTCTTAATTGATTTCTCTTTGAGTCTACCCACCTTACTTGCCGTTCAGATTAGAACTTGCTCAGTCAAGTCCGGCTGTCGCGAGAATGTTGAGCAAACAACAGCTGGCTTGCAGCGTGGAACAAAGAATTGCGGTCGAATTTCTAGTTCGGGAAAACGCCCAGATACCTGAAATTTGGCAGTGATACCAGGACTTAGAAGAGAAGGGCTAGCTCATAGAGCTTTTCCCCCTGAAGCAGAAAGTGAGAAGTGATGACGTAGCCATGATGACGCTGAGCGCGCCAATATAATTCACAGCTTGGAAATTAGCGTTTTTGAACCAGCGTTTAAAATGAGCTGTGTGTGAAAGATAGCTATAATTTGGAAAAGGCAATGTTACTGTTTTATGAATTTTAGACTGAACCATTAAAAATTTAATAATGCTTACTCAATTTTAAAATAATAGATAAAATGTGCTACTCTTTTAACATAAAGT